TTTTCTCAAATCGGTTTAAACGGTTTGGTTTGAAAATCTGTCAAAAATCGGTAAAACCGAACCGCTTACACCTCTAACTCACATATGTGATGTTCTATTGAAAGTACCCTACAATACTCTACTTTTACTATTTACAAGATACAATCATCATTAAAAGCATAACTTATCTTAACCAATCTTTGGTAGGCAGCACTTATTAGTATCATAGAAATGAGAGGAGTTTTTTATCGAGTTAATCATAATATTTTTTCTTATTAAATCTACTCTGTGTGATCTCCAGTCTTATAGGTTTCCATTGAGTTGACCTATTAGTTTAGGCTCCTAGTTCGCTTGATGCAAAGTCTATTCACTCTAGATAACTCATTTGTAAATGGATCTCCTAGGTTATCATTTGATAAATCAATTAGAGTTGTTCCATTTGAGAGCAACTATCAAATGATAACACATATTATGTATATATTTAGACTTGCCATTATACACTATATTCTATACCATTTCATTTTGTTGCTAGCTATATCGATCAAATGATATAACAAGCACAAATTGTCACCAATCACAAAAACCGTCAAAAAACTTTGAAGCCATCATACTTCCTTCTAATTTTATTGAAAGCTCTAATTTCTTTCAATTCTCGGAGAATTTTCATGAAACAACTACACTCTCAATTAAAACATATTTACTAATAGATTTTGAATTTTTCCATTAGATATCCAATTTTCAATGTCATGTGAATCTTAAGTTTAATAACGTAATAACTACCGTGAACCTTATCATTTCAAATATTTTTCAATTGTTTCAAATTCTAGTTCGAATAAACACTACCTCCCACAAATCTTTGATTACATTCGAACTGTAATTGATAATATGATGCAAACAACAATCAGCCACCACAATTTTGGGAAAGACTAAAATTATCGACATAATATTCATCTACTATATAAAGTTTGATCATATTGATAATTTTGTTTGTATACCGGATAAAAAAATTTATTCCACCTCTACTTTGTTAAGAGTGTGACTGTAGATAATGCTATCCCATATAGACTTGGATAAATCTAATTTTTTGTTGATAATGAATTGTTCAACCCCCCACAATTCCTAGATCAAACCAATTTTAATATTATAAACTCTTTCCACATTCATCAATTTTGTAGAGGTAATTCTTAACCTTGTAGTGCTTAAACACATTTCTATTGTACAATCGTTAGTAACGTGATAAATATTATCTCTACTTTGCACGGATACCATCTCACGTATTTTTATCGAAATTAAGTGAGGCTATATATCAAATCAACCATTGCAAATTTCACATTCATCAAATTAAGGATGAAATGGATGTTTGTCTCCCAAGTTAAAATGCTTCTTCCGAAACTAGTATACCACAATATTAATTTCATCAAGGCGAACCAACATTCAATTGTACTCTTCTAGAATGTAATATATCGAATACTAAATATCGAGTATGAAACTCAAAAATATTTTGAAATTTATTTTGTCATATTTTGAAGAAGGAAAAAATTATAAATCAAGTATATGAAATTTGATTTGGAGTGAACAAAATGGAATTAAATTATGATATTTATAGATTTTCAAGTGTCTTCGAATGGTTATGTCTTTTGAGATAAATTAAGTTGAACCATTAGATCATACCTTTCATATTTGATATGCATTGCACCCTATCAGAAGGTCATGACTTTTCATTACTTATATTTTTGAATAGTCACACCCAATTCAAAACAACATGACTTTTTAATATGCACCCTTTTATATTTGAAGAGTCACGACTAGTTATCAAACAAATTAGAGACTTACCCAATTTACACCTATAAAAATAATCTTGTAAATTCCAACAGATCATACCTATATGTATTTTCATATATCTATGTTTCTTATTTTTTTATTGCAATTGTACGATATTATAAAAAGTATAGGATTTTGGACTTGAGTCGAGCTCAGCTCGTCATTGGATCGGGACCGCTAAGATGGACTCAAAAGATACCCCAAGAAATCTGTTCTTTGGTTCAAGAAATTCCTTCAATAAATTCAACTGCTGTTATGTATTGAAATAATTGTGTCGATGTTGTATCAAATAAGGAAGTTAGCTCCATTGTGTAAAATTTTAAGATTGGGGTTTGCACTGGAAATATTGGTTGATGTAGTAAATCAGCCCATTATGTTGAATTTAAATTGGAGTTTTTGCATGCTTTGAAAATAACTTTGTTGATGTTTACATCACTATTTAGGTATTGATAATTCAAATTTTTTTTTCCTCATCGATGTGATCATCATAGTCTCAGTATATACAACAAGATGAAATAATCCTATACTTGGTGGTTTTCATTAAATTGAAAGGGACAAAATATTGGCTTCATATAACTTTTTCTCACCATTTTCCATAATATAAATAGCTGGATTCTTGTACTTGTGCTTCGTGTAGACGAGGAGATCTCTATGTCCTCTTGGATACACATAAAAGATACTTACACCTGTCTATAGATCACAATAATAACACTACAACAAAAACTGTCTATGGCAACGAGCGAAAAACGTTGCCATAGACTTTTCGCAGCGTTCGGGTGCACGTTGTTGTGTTTGATGTTGCCGTAGAGTTTCAACTTTTGGCAACGTTCATTGCACGTTGCGGTAGGATCTACGGCAACGTGCATTGAACGTTGCCGTAGATCCTACGGCAACGTTCATTGCACGTTGTCGTAGACACTTTCCGCAACGTTCAGCGAACGTTGCCGCATGTCATTTTACATTTTTTTATTCTTTTATTTATACAATGATTTACATAAATCAACCACAAAACAAGATAGAATGTAACAATATCAAGTAACTCCAATATTCATCATTTACTGAACTCCAAAATCTAAGAATATCCATACAAAATTCGGATAAAAAATTTTAAAGCTTCTAAAAATCTAATACATTTCAAAAAAAAAAAANTTCCATCTTCCACACCACCATCCTTAAATGCATATCTCCACACTTCATCGACAATTTTCTGACTAACAATGCGTGGCAATGTAACAGAACCTTGCCTCTGTAAATTCCCATTTTCCCCACTAGTAGTAGATGCTATGGTTTGAGTCTCTTCAGCTGTCCAAATGCTCTTCAATATGTCCTCCATATTCATAGATCCTCCATATCTTCCGTCAAAATTGTGTTGTGCTTTTCCTCCCCCTCAATAAGAGCAGCCTCTTTAAGTAGTTGTGCTGGCTTTTCACTCGACCATCCTGATGCAGACCTTATTGTACAATTCCCACAAAGAAGTAATATAAACTTTCACTGTAATAACATTTAAAATGAAAACATGTACCTTGCAAATTATTGGCATATCTAGACAAATCAACAGTATCTGATAATTTCACTTTACGGGCATGAACTTTTAGGATTTCCAGTCTTCCTTTTGCATTTGGAGGTTTAACTTTTATCTAAAGGATAAACAAAAAAATGATTGGACAAATCATGTTCACGAAAACAGATGCATAAATAAGGCATATACCTTACGATCAAACCGACCCGGACGAAGAAGTGCAGGATCCAACAAGTCCATCCTGTTGGTGGCACCCAAAAATATAACACCTTTGCTCATATCAAATCCATCTAGTTGCACCAGCAGCTGGTTCAATGTAGTCTCCCTTTCTTGAGTTTGTGCATTGCTCACAAAATTTATGGATACATTTTGCTCATTTTTCTTTCCAGAATGCAGACAAAAAAGTAGTTAGGAAAATGGAAGTTATCTACCTTCCCAAAAAGATCATAGATAGATTAAGTGACTACAGCAGAAACATAATAGGTAAAAACCATTGAGAAGAAGCTTTTGATGGTGGACAGTTGAGGATAATCTGTTATTTGCTTCAACTTGAACAAGCTAACAGATACTATCAACTACGTGAAATTAAGTCACCATAAATATGGCTGAAGAACACAACTAGCAACAACTAGCAGTGATATCAAGAATTATAAAGATTTCAGCTTACTTTACACACCAATGAACGGATCTAGCAACAACAATCAAACCTTTATTTTTTGTTTACTTTCACCAGATATGATCCATCAAAGGCGGGCTCCTATGGCAGGAAACCTTTATTTTTTGTTTAGAAACATTTAGAAACTAAGGGAAATAAAACATTTATGGGAAACACTA